GCCACAGCCTCAAGCAAATTCAAAAGCAAGGGTGTTCCCCAGTCAGGCTTCTAGAAACTACAGCACAAGCTGTTCATGTATAAACAGTCTGCATCTTTACATATTCTGACAAAATTATAAAATCTCCTGTAAGTGCTGGATTAGCTCCTACTCCTTTTCCATAGGACAGGTACTCTGCAGCTACTGGAACTTACATTTTAAGATGACATCTATTTCTTAGCATTAAGCCCAAACCTACCTAGCTGGCCAACCTCTTCACTTGTACACCCAGACTTCTACAAAATATTTAAATTTTGCTAAGCCACAAAATCCAGGCTACTTAAATCCCACCTCAGTGCTGCCAGTCCACAGTGAGGACGGAAGATCTCTGACATCATTGATAGCAGTTTAAAAAACTTAGGATGCTGAAGGTTTTCCTTATTGCCTTCAGACACTTTGTTACTTCCAAAGGTGGGGCAGACTGCTCAGACACATCAATTGTTCTTGCTGGTTCAAACATGCAGCTAAACCCTTACTTAATGAAGACAGGTATATATCACCACTAAGCAGAGAAAATTCAGTTTGAGTCCTTGGCTATTTCTGGCATTTCCAAGGGAAATAATGTACAAGTTACAGTGTATGTATTTACTTTAGATTCTAAAAGTAGAAGATGCTACTGAACTTGGTGTCATGAGGGTATTTCTTGCAACAAGAAATACCACAAGGCGCAAGTGCATGGTCCTTTCCTCCTGCCACCACCAGTTCCTTACAGGACATTAGATCATGCAACAGAACTGTAGTGTCCTTCTTACTTTATCTGTGATTACAATCACTTGGTAAACACTTTCACTTTGTAAGTCCAGAAGCTTGCAATATATACAAAATTGCAATTATTTTTGTTAGTTGCATCTTTACAGAAATGTAGTAATTGCTAAAGCAAGGGTTCTGAACCCTGAAAAAAATTACAGATTTTGCACATGAAGATACCTGGTCTTTCAGGATTAGCCATGATGCCAGAGATCTGCTTCATGAAAATACTTGATACTAGTTAACAAGTTGAGAAAGCTATCATTAAAAACCCCAGCATCCTTCTTCCCATCTTTTCTACCTACCCTATTGGTTTTGTATCAGTAGAGAATTAATTTTCTTTAAATACTTTAACTTTTCAATTTCATTGAGAACTTTCCCATGAACAAGCTAATACCAAATCTTCCCCCTGTTCTGCAGCATGAGAATAATATCATTCACCGGGACTTAAAAGCAGAAAATGTCTTCTACACGAGTAACACCTGCGTTAAGGTGGGAGACTTTGGATTCAGCACAGTAAGTAAAAGAGATGAAACTTTAAATACTTTTTGTGGCTCTCCTCCTTACGCTGCCCCTGAACTCTTCCGAGATGAAAACTATGTTGGCATTTATGTAGACATCTGGGCACTGGGAATCCTGTTATACTTCATGACAACGGGTATTATGCCATTTCGGGCAGATACAGTGGCCAAACTGAAAAAGTGCATTCTTGAAGGGACATACAGTTTGCCTTCCTGCCTCTCAGAAACTTGCCAGAAACTGATAAAAGGAGTCCTTCAGCCAGTACCAACCAAACGATACTCCGTCAAACTTATCATGAACAGTGAATGGATGCAAGGGATACAGTACCCCAGACCTTTACAGCCCTTTAAACTGGATCCGAGGTACTTATCAGACATCAGTGCACTCAAAGAGGAAGATATTGAAGTCAAAAATATTCTTGAAGATCTGGGAATCACAGAAGAGCACATTCAAAACAACCGGGGAAGAGATGCACGCAGCTCAGTAACAGGGGTCTACAGAATCGTTCTGCACAAAGTTCAGAAGAAAAGGGCACTCGAATGTGTTCCTATCATGTCCCATTCAGACCCCAAAGAACAAGACCTGAGGGGAGGAATCCATTCTTACAGCAGGATGAACGCATCCAAGCTGTGTTCTATTTTATAAACTGCACTGCAGGCTTTATAATTGGCATATTTAACAAAGGGTTTTATTAACAAGCTCTGGCATCACATTTTTTTGTAACTTTTGAATAAACCAAGAATGCCTGATCTCCTCTGCATTTCTCCACTCACAGTGAAGTGCTCAAATACAGAGCTCTCATTTGTTTGCCCCTTGCTCCAGAGACTTGGTATAGCCAGTACAAGAACCCTAGCAAGTGGAACAGGTAAGAGATCATTAGTTGAAGAGACCTTTTAGCAAAGGTCAAACAGTACTGCATTTAACATACTACAGGCATGTTACAGCTAAGATCTTGAAAAGTTGTGCCTCAGCTTGACACAACTGTACCACTACAAACCAGAACAGTTTTTTGCAGAAAACTAAACTTAAGCAGAAACCAGACTATAAACTAAACAACTGTAAATTCTTTAAAACTTCTCAGCAAATTAAACATGTGTAATTGTATAACAGAGCTCTATGGGCTTTAAAATTGTATTTAAAAAAAACAGCAGTGGTGTTGATGACCACCATTCCAAATTTGTCACAATTGCAAAAGGCAAATTAGGATATGCTGCTTGAACCCTACATGTGTGGTCACAATTCCTATTGCAGAACTGGTTGGGCTACCACCTTCCATTACTTGGATGATTCCAGCAGCTTGGACTCCAGCTGCACTCCAATAAAGAAAGATTTAACTGTACTCCAAAACTCACGTAGTTTTAAACTCTTGCTATAGCTCTAAGTATCAGTAAGCTGAACGCAACCAATAACAAAATCTGCTTATAGATTGAGCATTACAAGCTGTACCAACTCCTGCAATTAATACTTTGGCAGCAACAGCTGATTCTGACCACTGCAAGTTAAAAGTTGGCTAGCCTGACAACTCCAATTTTTCCAAGCATCACCAAGGTGTAGATACTCTGATTTTCAGCTTTAATCGTTTATTTTATATTTTTATCCTCAACATGATGAGCTCCAATGCAAACGTTGGAAGAGCGCACAGTAGCTACCCTTCTCCAAACAGGCACAACTGACATACCCAAGCTAAGAGGCAGGGCCCGTCCTACTTTAGTTAAGGAAAGTAAACTAATACAAGGCTTAGAGGTACAGCTGGTGCTTTCAAATTTAAGGGCAGGATGTCTCATCTGTTATGGGGAACTGATGAGATGATAAGTTGACTTTAAAAGGGCTAATTAATGTAAATGAGCCACAAAATGACTGAAAAGCCACCCCTGGTAAACAGAGGTTCAGTGAGGATCAGGTAAGTACAAAGCAAGAATCAACACCGTTTCACAGATTTTTCTGAGGGGGTAAAACAACACCATCTTTCATAGGACAGTAATAAAGATGAATTGTATTTCATAAGCTGTGAATGAATTCCTCTATACAAACCATTTTCCTCTGAAAGCATTAAGTTATGTTGAAACACAGCCCTACAATAATGTTTTCCCACCAGCCTAAGCAACCCTTTCCATTTTTGTAATGGAATGCTACTAAGCAGAAAGATCCAGAAGGTCCACACAGCTGGTGAACCCACAACTTCAGGTTTTCACAGGCACAGTCTCCTCTTTTTTTCCTGTTAAAGAAAACAAAAATTCATCCTGAAAATCCAATGAGTCAGCACTACTCCAACAGGTTTCAAATATCTCAAACTTTATTTTAATAAAGGATCAGCCTCACAAACCACGAGGCCCCTGTGATAACTTTATGCCAGTAGCTCATTTCCTGGCTTGTCCACTGCCAGCAATGGACTTTGTTCCATGGCAATTTGTTTTCCTGGTGCCAAGATTAAGTTTCACGAGGGCAACCTAAACCAAAGTACTTGCAAACACTATCATCATGCATCACTGCTCCATCATTTTCAGCAGAACAAACAGATTAGTATCCATAAATTTATAATAAACAACTACTTTACCAAGGCTTGACTGTACAAATACAGCAAGTTATCAAATCCTAGTGAGTGACAGATAATACAAACACTTTATTACACACACAAAAAAATTGTAACTTAACAGACATGTAATTTTTTGCTACTTTATATTAGATAATGCAGCTTTGTAGAATTAGCAAAGAAATAAATCCAACAAAATTTCATTCTGTACATTAGCTCAATTTAAATATGTATATATTACAAGCTTACAAGGCTCATGTCATAGTTAATTTCCAATCTGGACTTTAAAAATCTACCAGAATGGAATCCCCATTAGTATGGTATATCTACCTGTTGCAAAACTGATAGCTTTTAGCTTGCATATTGGGAAAAAAACAAGAAAGGAGAAAAAAAAAAAAAAGACCCTACTCCTACAGTATCACCATTAGTCAGAAGGATTTCAAGGTACAAAGCCAAATTCAAAGTCAGAAACAGTCTTTCAGAAATGTGTTATATAAAGACTAGTGAGAGGCCAGTGACGTTTCTCCCTTTCTTCGTCTGCCAATTAAAACAGCTCAGTAATATCTGGAAGTACTATATGAAAATTCTGCTGCCTTAGATAATTATAGAACCATGGAATCATGGAATGGTTTGGGTTGGAAAGGACCTTAAGATCATCCAGTTCCAATCCCCCTTCCATGGGTGGGGATGCCTCACCCTGGACCATGTTGCCCAAGACTGTCCAACCTGGCCTTGAACACAGACAAGGATGGAGCACTCACAACTTCTTTCGCCAACCTGTCCCAGTGCCTCACCACCCTCACAGTAAAGAACTTCTTCCTTACATCTAACCTGCACTTCTCGTGGGTTTGAACCCATTACCCCTTGTACTATCCCTACTGTCCCTGATTAAGAGTCCTTCTCTGGCAACCTTGTAGGCCCCCTTCAGATACTGGGAAGCTGCTATGAGGTCTCCACACAGCCTTCTCTTTTCCAGGCTGAACAGTCCCAATTTTGTCAGCCTGTATTCATATGGGAGATGCTCCAAGCCCCTTATTATCCTCCTCCGGACTTACTCCAACAGCTCCATGTCCTTCTTATGTTGAGGAAACCAGAACTGTACAATTACTCCAAATGGGATCTACTAGACAATCCTGAAAGATGCCACATCAATGAACCCATATCTTTGGAAGAAAAAAATCCCTATCCCTCCTCTTTCTCTTTCCACCCACGCTGCTGTGATTTATAAAGCTGGCACAAAATACACATTACGGGTGTTCAGAGGAATCCCACAGTAACTAAGACAGCAGGTCACAAAGTTTCTTGGAAGAAAACCACCTGTCAGTCTAGCCATTCTTGATCCAGTCATTCTGACAGGGAAGAGAGATTCTTCTTCAGCAATGAGTGCTACTTGGTTGTATTTCCCAAAGCAATGGGGTGATGGGATGCAGACTGGCAGAAAAGAGGAGGGTGGTATAGAGAAAGAGAAGCACAGTATTCTGAAGACAGCTTACTGTCAAGGCACTGAGAATCCAAACATGATAAGCCTGGACTAGCTTGCCACACACTTGAAGTTAACAGTATAGGTTAAAAGTAGAAGTTAACAGTAGAAGTTAATAGTGGAGGTTTGAAGTAGACGTTAACAGTAGAAGTTAACAGTGTAGGTTTCAAGTCATTTTGAATGGAAAGAGCAAGCAAAAGATTTTTTCTGTGTACAAACACCTTGTAATGGACTACAGCTACTACTCAGCAATTGAAAAGAAAAATAAAAATGGACATGTTAATGAATCCACACAGCCCCTGGCAAGTCCCTCCATCCCCAGTATATTCATGAATTTAGTGTCTTGAAAATACCATAAACATCAGCATACCATATTATGACAAAGCTTTTCAAGGAGCTTTAACAGTTTTCCATTCTCCAATGAAGTACTACTGTGCACTGAAACTTGAGCACTACTGCAATCCTCTCCCTCTGTTACCCTACCCTCACACCTTGCTTCATTCCCCACCTCACAGAGGTATCTTAATGCTCCCCATTGGAAATGGCAACAGTAACGCCTTCAGATTCTGTTGTTGCAGGGATTCTTGGCACTTTCTTAGCAGGGCTTGGGATGTGCTAAGAAGAAGGGAAAAAAAACATTAAATACAGTTTTCTAGTTCACAGACATCCATACTTCATGGCTAGTCCAAATCTCAACAACATTCATGCTGCACTGGACAGCTTTGTTTTAAGTCAACTGAATTGGTCATGCTTCATGCAAACCGGTAACATGAAAAGCCACTTTGTTCTTGTTTCATTCTTGTGCAGTTTCATTCTTGTTATGATGAAATGTACATTTTAAAATCCCATGTTCAATTTTTTTTTTTTACTTCTTTTACTCATATAGATTAGCTAAGTACTTAATATACCTTGTGAAGCCACTTCTTCCTTTAACATACATGCACATGCTATGACAAACACACAAACCGTTCCACCATTTAGCTTCAACTTTTAAAAGAGTGCCGAGCGTTCACCTCATGAACAACGCCTGGGTGGACAACTTCAACACCTGCCTCCAGCGGTCCATCACCCATGAGCGGGCGCCGTGCGTATGTTCTCCTGTGCTTTTCATCCACACGCACAAGGTACCAAGTTCCCTCAAAGAGATCTTCCACCGAGCACTGTGGAATATAGTTGGCTGTAACAAAGCCAGGAATACACTGTTAATTGGTTCCTGATAACAGTTTTACACAGCACAGGGCTTTGAAGTTTGGACACAGTAAGACAGAAAAAAACAAATCTACATTTTCATGTCAGCCTCACTGGACCAATGAACATGAGCTGTCAGAAGTAGAAAAAAGTTGGACATTTCCTTTATTCTACACCCTAACAGTTGAAAGTCAAGTGAACTAAGTGATGAGAATTTTGCTGTGAAACTACAAACAATTTATACTTATGAAGCTCTTACCCAAATGATGCGTTTCCTGTCTGATCTTCATATTTTCAGCAAAGACATCCGGTGCAATACATTTTCTTGAGTCAAGTCTTGTTTTGAGATCGGACAGACTGGCAGTAATTTTGTCCAGTGCAGAGCCTACAATACAGAACCATCATGTAAGGTCGCACCAGTGCCAAGATCTGTGTGTTAGCATGTTAACATTTCAATCTCATTCAAAATGTTTTGCATTACAGCAGCTAAACCTGCTGTATTGAATACTGAAAATTGAATATTGAAAATATTCCAAATTATTCCATCAAAACAGCAATGGAATTTGAAGAATATTACTTATTTGCCCAACGAGACATGTAAAACATTCCCAGGAGTTGGAACATCTTCAATTTAGCATTACTGTCATTAAGCACTGCTCTGCAGGTTTACTTATTCTGGTGAGTAGTGTCATGAGGCATTTAGCTGGGAGCTGTGCAAGGGAGTTAATTAACATTTCTTCCTTTCACTCACCAGGAGTGGCATCCTGCGTAACTCTGATGGAATACAGCGTAGCAGCAAACCCAGAGCCATATGAAAACACACTGATTCTCTGTCCTGCAAGCTGCTCTGGGGAGTACCTGCAAACCAAGCAACAGTTATATAGAGTGAGAATTAAGCCAAAGTGCCAAATTTAAGTAACTAGGAACTGCAGCTAGCTCAGCAGAAGCAGCCAGTGAGTTATACTGACTACAATACACATTTTGCATGCTATGTGCTTAAATGACTTTTAAACAGCATCAGGCGTGGCTGTTATGTGATGACTTCCAAAGCTGCCTAAGCAAAACAGAGCAAGGAAATGCCCAGAATATTATTATCCAGAAGGCAGTTTTCCTTCTTAAGTGACCTAAAGCCTAAAATGAACGATCATATCTTGGAAGGCAAAGTCAGAATAACAAAAAAAGGATCCAAGAGGAATTGCTTAGCTTAAACTTAACATGATTTTGTAAAAGTCTGCCACTGAAAAAAAAAACAAAAAACCAAACAAAATAAACCCCCTAAACAACAACCAAACAACCCCCTCCTAAGCCCCTAATTTAATTTGGCTTTGCTTATTATAAGTGAAACAGAGAAGGCATTCTGATACTCTCTGCCACTGCAGTGAGGCCTTTTTTTGGAGAGGGGCAGGATAGGGAAGGTTGAGGCTGGGAAAACATACCACCTCATAAATAAGATCCTTCTTCAGCAGGAAGTAAGCAGCTGTTTCAGATCAGCTTCTGACAAATAACTTTTGAATCTGCTTGTCACCTGAACCCAACTGTGCATGCACAATCGTTTTTTTAACTTCAGGCTTTCTGCTTAAGGCCATCTAGTAGGAAAAGGTTTGCTAGATGGTATGTTTACAAAAGGCTTTCTGAAACAAAGACCTTTTATAACCTTACATATAAAAAGCTATGACTTTTTCCCATTATTTTATGCTTACTGGGCTAGAAGAGAGGCAAGGCAACCATAGACTGAAGGGGTGTACATATTTCCATTCTGATTGGACACAAGTAACGAAGCTTTGGTTTTCTGATTGAAGAGCTCTGCACTGGCTTTCATGAAAGCTTTTTCCACATCTCTGTCAAAATATGTATCCTCAAGTTTTACATCCCTATTAAAAAAAAAAAGACATTCATAAACAGTTACTAAATTACTTTTACTAAATACAGAAAGTAAAGACAAACACTGGAGGTGTAACAAGTTAAGATCATATGAATAAGGAAGATAGTAGCCATTCTCACCTGAAAGCCTCCAACCCACTGAAAATACCATCTGCTGTTTCTGGGTTCTGGTCACTGAGAAAGTCATTCAGCAAGAGTCTAGCCACAGATTTCTGGACCAGTTTACAGTAGGGAGAATGAAAGATCATGAATCCAAAGTCATTCAAGGTGAAACGTCTGCCTATCCCCTCTGGAAGTGGCAGAAATGTTGTGTTACAACTTATGTTTAGCACTTAGTTCAACTATGAAAATAAAATACAAGGGTGGCAAGGTACTAGTGATTGTATCACATCACCATACAAGACACTACAGTAAGACTAACTATGCCTGTCAAGATCATTTAAAACACTGCTGCTACTTCTATTTACAGGTTAGTTTCCTACTGATCTTTTGCACCAGCATTTGACCTCCTAGAAGAAAAAGCTATAAGCTTAACAAAATCTCCCTATTCCTTTTCAGCATTTTGATGTAACAGTCTACTTCATTTAATTAGCTAATCTTCACTGGCCCTTAATATGAGTAAAGCAATTACTAAACATGTGAGGTTAAAAAAAAAAAAAAAAAATCAGTATAGTTACGTAACATTTAAATATTAACCCCAGTATCTTAAGAGCATATTATGTGAAGGAGTGGAAATAACACGCTTTTTTAAGCACGGTATTACACATTACACCAAGATAAGCTTTATAGAGACTGCTGCTTACTATCAGGTACTCAGCCATACCAGAACAGATGTAAAACATTTCTTATGGGAGAGACAAAACATTTGAAACGCCTCAGAACATGCAAAACCAAGATGGGAACTAGTCTTCATACCGAATGCTAAAACTCTGAAAGTACGCTGCCAGCACAGAGACACATTCCAATAATTGCCAGATCTTGCAATATCACCAGGTCAGACTGCGTACCTTTTTGCCACTGGGCGTGGATTTTGTTGCGATAAACAGTATAGCAGCGATCTAATGCACTGAGGTAGCACTGTATAGAGAGTTTGCCATCAACTACAGGATATTCAGAGACCATATCTGGCTTATAGAAGTCATATGCATGTTGCATATGGGTTCCACGCAACCCTAATGGACAGAAATTGACAAAAATTATTCAGCTGCTTTGAGTCAACTTGAATCTATCACTTAACACATTTGGGGAAACAAGCAATATCTGGCCCCCATTAAGCAGGTTTTCATAGCACTTCAGGCCCACTCTTTGACAACTTTATTGTAGAATCCCCGAGGAAATAAACAGACATGAGCATCTCTAGTTGCTCCTTGATGCATCTTATAACGGGACTTGCCCAAGTTAGCCCAGAGTGAGAGCTGACAGCACAATTTCTGACATGGTGAGAGTTAATCCAGCCCTCAAGCAAAGCACAAGAAACAGGCTTCCAAACAGATCCAGTTATCTGGATAAACAGTATTTGTTTCTTTCCACAGGACTAACCTCTCTCAAAAATTAATGGAGCATTTGGACCAACCAGCATAGCAACAGCACCAGCTCCACCTGTTGGCCTGGCATTTCCAGTGGCATACACAGCTATGTCTCCAGCAACAACAAGTGCATAGCGTCCTGTGAAAACCACACACAAATAATGAGAAATAGCCAAGAATCAAGCATATTTTAACACCCATCTGCAATTTCCAGATGTTGGTCACAGAGGAGATGACCCCACTACTTAAGGGGCTCTTCCATCTTGACCTTTCCCCCCACATTTCAATTACTTAGCAGCCACAGAAATTTACTGGAAAAGACCAGTGATTACTAACCATGTCATCATTTTTTTTTTCCCACTGGAGTTGAACTTAAAGTCCAGTGCATTTAAGAGTAAGACGTCAGAAGGGAAAAACAGTTTAACCTCTGGGTTTTACATGGTTAAACATGAACACTGTCGTTATGAGGCAGACTACCCAAAGCCAGAGGATGACATAACTTTCCCAAGAAAATACCCTGAACTTACCATCCCAAGAACTGGACTCGATCCAATTAATGGCATTAAAAAGAGCAGCAGTGCCTCCATAGCATGCATTGGTGGTGTCAATGCCTTCTACATCTGTATTACCAGATTCTTCAAAGAGCTGCATCAGGACAGTCTTCACAGATTTTGATTTATCAATTATCGTCTCTGTTCCAACCTCCAATCTCCCAATACAATCATAGGAAAGGCTGTTCCTCTCCATCAGCTTCTGAACCACAGTCAGACAGAGAGAATTGATATCCTCCCGGTCGGAGCAGAACCCCATTCTTGACTGGCCCAGCCCAATGGTGTACTTCCCAGCATCCACACCATCATACTTCTCCAGCTCTGTCTGGTCAACGTACTGAGAGGGGAAATATATCTCCAGTGCAACAATTCCCACATCTTTGGGCCAACGGTATTCAGCATTCACCGGAAGAGACCCAGGCATCGTGGTAGATCTTTAAAGAAAAAAAAACAAACAAAAAACCACACATGCACACACACACACATACAAAAAAAAAAAAAAAAAAAAAAAGGCTGATTTATTCACATGCATTTTGAGAGACCTACTTTCACTTTCTGCAGACTTGTAGAAGAAGTTATATTTCAGGTATTCTGCAAGGTCAGTTATTTGCAAAAGGCGAGCCTCTGCCCCCTGGGAAGAATTTGGTCTGAGTGTACTGTAAACATCACTAGAAGCTCTGCAACATTTTTATATTAAGAAGTAGTTTTAAGTAAAAACACAGATTTCAGCCCTGGAGATGAACAGATGAAGGTTAAGCCCAAGTTATTTCACCAAAGCAAACCATGTGCTTAACAAGTGTTGTTTGAGAAATTAGTTCATATTAATGTTCCATTATTGTATTTCTGCTTATACGCAAGTCTCAATTTTACACAACCAAGCTAGAAACATGGGATAATTTTTTTTTGCAGGCACTTTTCTGATGTTTGTTCTTTTTTCTTTATTTCTGGTTGGGTTGGGTTTTGGGGTTTTTTTTAAGCATACTGTTTTGGTATTCCAGAACACTGGAACTACCAACACCAGGCCTTGAGAAGCATTTCACATACCAAAATGAATACAAAGGGATTCCTCCTGATAGACCTAGTTTTCTTATTTTAACCCTGTAAATTTATTGTCACTACACTCGAGAATATTTTACATCCTGTTATTTTAGCCCTATCCCCATTATACAGCTGTGCACCACCTTTCTGCAGTTTTGCTCATTTCCTTACAGAGCACTTGTCCCCTTCATGCCCAGCTGCAAGTAACATCAAACTGACCCAATTTCTTCCATAAAGCCTTAGCGAGCTGTTTAAAGGAACTATCCTGATTTTGGCTGAGATAATTTTCTTCCTAATAGCTCGCGCAGTGCTGTGTTTTGGTTTTAGTCTGAGAAGTAATGCTGGTAACACACCAAAGTCAGTAGTGCTTACCCTGATAAAGGACTTTTCAGTCTCATGCTCTGCCAGTGAGGAGGGGCACAAGAAGCTGAGAGAGCAGAGACAGGACACCTGATCCAGACTAGCCAAAGGGGTATTCCATACCACAGCATGCCCAGTACATGAACTGGGGAGGGTTACCCCCAAGGGACTGATCACTGCTCAGGTTGGGCTGGGTATTGGTCAGTGGGTAGTGAGCTGTTGAGGGTACTGTGCATCACTTGTGCTTATTACGGTTTTCTTCTTGTTTTGTTTTTTTCTTATTTCCCTTTTCATTATTATTATCACTAGCAGTAGTATTATATTGCCTTTAATTACTAAACTGTTCTTATCTCAACCCACAGGTTTTACTTTTTTTTTCCCAGTTCTCCTCCCCTTCTCCCACTGAGAAGCTGAGTGGTACTTAGCTGACAGCTGTAGTTAACCCAGGACAGGAATAAAGTCTAGTCCTGCAGGAATGCCGACTTTACAGGATGCATATTAAGACAAGCATCAGGAAAACTTCAAGTGTTTTCTGTTACAGGTATGTTCTTATGAAACTGAAGTCCGAGCCTGTGGTTCACCATTTCAACTGCCTCCAGCAAACTCAACTATACCTATAAGGTACCTAAACCTTTCATTTGCAGCCTGTGAACGGGAGGAAAACGCTATTTAAAGCGGCCGACTGAAGCGCCGCTGAGGGCACAGCTCACCGTCGCGATGTGAAGCGAAACAAGCCGTTTGGCGTTCACCCCGCTGCCACCCGACCTCATGCTTTCCTGTCTACTCGCCACATCCCGTGCCCGACCGCGACCTCCTTCCCCTCAACCCACCCTTGTCAAGAAGCCCCTCATCTGAGCGCAAAGCCGCGGCCTTGCTGAGGGCGGCGGGCAACCCCCCCCCGGCCGCGGCCCCGCAAACGGCTCAAGGTTACCGGTGACCCGGCCTAGGACACGGCCAAGAACCACCGAAGTGGCGTGGGGGGTCACGCCCCGTCGCACCCGCAGCCCCCACTTCCACCGCAGCGCAGCGCCAAACGGCCAACCATCCACCCCCGCCTCACACCGCCGCCGCCACGGCCCTTACACGGTGCGGAATCCCATCGCCGGGTGCCGGCACGACGGGCCGCGCATGCGGATCGGGCAGGCGCTAAGTGCGCAGGCGCGGGAAGATCGCCCCGCTCCTGCGTCGGGACGGCGGCGCTAGCCGGCCTGCCTCCAGCTCTGAGGGGCCCCTTGAGGCGCTGGGAGCGCCGGCACCTCCTGCAGCCCAGACAGCTGTGTGCCGGGCTGCATCAGAAGGAGGCCAGCAGGTCACGGGAGGTGACTCTCCACCTCTGCTCTGCCGAGACCTCACCTGCAGCACTGTGTTCCGCTCGGAGGGGATACAAGAGGGACGTGTAATTGCTGAAGCGAGTCCAGAGGAGTCCACGAAAATGATTAGAGCGCTGGAGAAACTCTGCTATGGAGACAGGAGAGAAAGTTGGGTTGTTCAGCCTGGAGAAGAGAAGGCTCTGGATAGACCTTAGTGCAGCTTCCGGTGCCTAAAGGGGCTACTAAATGTGGGAGAGGACTTTTGGCAAGGCTATGTAGTCATAGGACAAGGGGGAATGGCTTTAAACTGGCAAAGGGCAGATTTAGATTAGACATTAGGAAGAAGTTCTTCACTGCAAGTATGTTCAGATGCTGGCATAGGCTGCCCACAGAAGTTGTGGCTGCCCCATCTGTGGCAGTGTTCAAGGACAGGCTTCAAGGGGCTTTGAGCAACCTTGTCTAGCAGAAGGTGTCTCTGCCCATGCTAGGGTGGTTGGAACTGGATGATCTTTAAGGTTCCTTTCTACCCAAACCATTGTATGTTTCCACCTCCAGGAAGCTGGTGAGCAGGATTACTGATTTGTTACGGCATAGCAACGGGTTTACACTGTTAGAAATGGAGTGGCCATCACAGCTTTCCTAAAGCCACAGGCAGAGAAGGGAGCATGATGGTCCAGAGACTCCCCAGGAGCTGTGGGACAAGCTCAGGTCCCCTCTTCAGCAGCACAATGAGCAAGTCACATGCATCTTATGGGGACGCAGAGCAGCACTGTGGTCCAAAATTTGCTCCACGAGCATCATTTCACCACAGGCACTGCAGAGGAGGAGGATGCTTTCCAGCTCCCTGTACAAGTGCAGACACAATACCAACAGTAAGATCCCAAGGTACCAGCTGCAGAAATGGCCTTGGGGTCCAGCTCTTTCTGGCGCAATGTACCTCACTTTCTTCAAAAAGGGCCAGGGGTCAAAAAGGAAATTTACATTCTTGCTGGCTCACCACAGTGTCTGGCAGCCATCCCAAGGACAAGCCTTGACCCCAAAGCTGAGCATATTTTTGCCCCAGGAGCCAGAAAGCCACGAGTTAAGAGGCTGCAGAGAATCTTAAGAGGCTCAATTTTCTTTAAGTTACACACAAAGCCAACTCATGCAGCACATAAGGACTTGGCCTTTTTCATCAGAAAGCTTTCTGCAGAAGACAGCTAAAGGGAGGCTCCTTTTTGTGGCTCAGCTAATATCAAGGTCACCAAACATACCTCAGATAGCATCTGTCATAGGGCTACCAGCTGTACTACAAGAAGAATCATGGCTTTATTAAGTTGTTCTGGTCACTGAAGGAAACGGGACAGCTTAAGCCAGTTAGTCATTACAGGAAAAAAAATTGTTTACTTAATGCAAAACAAACAGCCTTTTGTCCTCTTGGTCAACCAGCAAACAACATCCCATAACTCAGTTTTGACTGAAAAGAAAAGCTTTGAGAAAGTACAATTTCTTTTAACAGACTGAGAATGCCAGAGGTTTTCATATAGACACTTAAGAATGCTTTGTCTTGTGTCCCCTCAGGATTCTGTAGGGAATGAACGAGCAGCATAAAGGAGCCACCACTTTCTGCTAGCGTTGCCAGAAATCTGTTATCTCACCACAACTGGTGCCTTACATTGTCTTTGTATATTTTTGTATATTTTTTATTGTGTCAACTACTGCATATTTAAGAATATGCACTGGTACATATATTAATATATTTGAGAATATTTATACAATTGTGAATATTCTGACAATAATTTGACTTTATCAGCTCTCGCTGAAGTCCTTCACTCCTGCAGAACACTTGGCTGGAAGTTAAGAACTGAGCCTGCAGCCTTTCACCACGGACAACGCTGCTATGGGTTCAGCGGCTTCCCTGAGCAGCTCCCGGCTCAGGGGGAGCTGGCGGACACACCGACCTCTCGGGTGGCAGCAGGGATACTTGCGGGACACTTCAGCCCCTCTTCATATGTCACCCCCCGATGACCCGGCAGCCTCAGCAGCTACATCAGGCAGCCACCCCGCCGCACCGGGCGCTCGAAGACCTCGCTCAACGCCGCGGGAGGTGGCTGCCTCCACCCGTGTCGAGGGCACTCGCCACGGTACCGGACACTGCTCAACCCGACAGGACCGGGGGAAGCTGCGGGGAGACCGGCCAAAGGCGGAACAACCCCAAACTGCGGGGACGGTGCCTTGAATTCTGCCGTGAAACATCCCCCCATACCTCGCCGTGTGCACCCTCTTGGACTGCGGCCGCACCCGGGTGTGTGCCGGGGTGCCTGCACCGGGCTACAAGCGCCATCATGGAAAAAGGCGACGGCATCCCGCTACCTGTGGCATGAGGGGGAGGCTGGGAAGGGGGATACGCCCACCCAGCCTTCTCCGGCTTGTCGCTCTGTCGCGACACTGAGAGACGGTAAGGTGACACGCCGAGAGTGTCGATGCTTTCAGCGGCTTCCCGACCAGCGAGGTGCGGGCAGAGCCCGTCAAGTCCCGCAGCAGCCGCCCGCCACGGCTCACTCAGGATGGAGAGGCTTCCCCCGGGGGCAGCACCCGGGGCACCGGGACGCGACTCTTTTCGGCTGGAGCATGGCTCAGACGGCTGCCCCAGGCGGGGAGCGCCCCACGCCGCACTGCCCCGGACGATGCTCCGCCATGCTCCGAGCAGCGCGCGACGCGGTGGGTGTACTGGCACCCGCGTTAAGAGAGACACACGCGTGGAGAGACACCCAGGCACGCCTCCGTTTCTCTTTTTTTCACTCTTTTTTTTATCTTTCCCCCCTTTTTGCCGCACTGCAGGCACTTCAAACGCGCTTGCATCCACTGAGAACGCTGCTCCCAGCTATACCAACCCAGCCCCAGCCCGCGGGCGGCTCCGCTCCCTCCTCGCCCCGCGGCCGAGGAGAGATGGAAAGGCCGCCGCAGAACCGCAGGACTCCCGCAGCCCGAGCCGCACTCACCTGATACAGGCGATGGCTACCGGTGTCACTCGCTGCGCCTCACTCTTCCCCGTTCTCACACACGGGAGACCGCGCCGGGCGCCGGCGTGCGGCGCCTTTTAAATAGCCCCGCCGCACCGGCCCCTGAGCGGCAGCTCCGCCCGCCAATCACCACTGCAGCCGCGCAGGTCCCGCCTTCCGGCCGGCCGGCAGCTCGCGGAGAAGGCGGGGGAAATGGTGTGAGAAAGTGACGCGGCGTGGCCAGAGGGCGGCGCGCCAATGGGGACGCGGCAGAGGCGGCGGGCGCTCAATGGGAGCTGAGCGCCGCGCGGGGGCAGCCAATGGGAGCGCGCTGCCGACCGCGGGTGAGAGTAGGACGGCTGCCGGTCCCCGGCGAGGCGAGGAAGCAGTTGCCCGGCAACGCGAGGCGAGGCGAGGCCCGCCCGGCCCCCGTCAGCAGGGGTTCCTGGGGGGTAGCCCTGTCAGGGCTGTCCCGCGTGTGGCCGTGGCCGCGGGTGAGGGGCTGTGGGGCTGTGGGGCAGCTGCGGCTGGCTGAGGGGTCTGCAGGCAGTCGGGGACCGTGGTGCCAGCCCCACGTTTAGGCCTGCAAAACCGCTCTGCAGCCCTAGCCCTTGGCAGGCCAGGACGAGGCATTTGGGGCTCTCACGGGGGGGAAGTTGCTTCACGGAAAATGCGATGTCCTACCCTGGATTGTCCTGTTCTGACGAGAGTGCCTTCCAAACTTGTTAAACCCACAGAGTGCCAAGCCAAACCTCGTGGTGGTGGTGTTACTTGGGACATTGACAGCTAATGTACGGGTTCCACATGTCTGCCTCTGTATCCTTTAGGCCCTGTACTAATCTATTGCTGCACAGGGTACTGAGCATCCCCAGATGAGTCAGTGAGAGTACAAACCTTCATTGCAGATGAGAATCTGGTCAATAGAAAACACACGTTTTAAAGCCTGGATAATTTAGTTGTAAAACACCTCTCAAGTAAAAAAAAACCACACCTTTAGCAGCTGGTGTCAGGTTCTGTGTGATCTGATTGCTACAGCTAGCAGAAGACACTGCCTTGATCAACTGTTGTATCAGAGACTAAAACCTGTGTTATTTTCACCACCTTAGGGGCAGGTAAAAATAATGCAAAAGAAACGAAAAAACTCCTTAAAAGTGTTAACTCCTGTCCTTGAGACATTGAACATTCTGTTACCATCATTTGAAATCACAGTTGTTGTTGCAGAACTATTTGTAGTGCAAGGATTGAGAAATACTGCTGAGAAACCGAGAGTTTTGTTTGCAGCTGTCACCTTGCAGTCTTTGATAAGCTTGTTCCATTTGTAATGCTGAAAAAAACACGTTGGCAAAATATGAACTGAATAGATGGTAGCATAGCTGCATCATGTAGTCACACTGCTATCTTCTGTGCCTTGAGTTGATCTTCTGCTCTGGGAATCTAAAACTTCAATTCCTCCTGTTTTTCCCTTCCTACAACCAAAAAAGAAAAAAACAACAAACCCAAAACAGAACTGAAGCTGGAACTGCGTCCTTGTTCTAGACTTCGAAATAGGGCCCAAATGCCAGCCTCTCATTATATGCTGTGGTGGCAAACTGTTTCCTGTCACTGGAGTGCTTGGTGTGTTCTGGCTTTAGAGAAGAGCAGACATGCGGGAGGAGCTGAAGCAGTCCATGCAGGATCTCATGTCAAGGCTGTGAGTGTGCCCCATGCAGCCCCGTTCTCTTCTCCCTGGGTGCTCAGTTGCCTGTGGGCAAGGCCAGCTCCGGTACAGGGCATTCATGTAGCCTGGGATGGGGCTGCAGTGAAAACAGAAGTGTGATGAGGAGCTGTGATTTGTCGCCTGGGTGGCCTCTTCCCCTTCACTTGAAGCTCTCTTCGAGGCTGGGCCCTGGCCTGGGCAGCACTGCCTGGTATGCCTATGCCTGTCTACGTCCCTTACTGATCCTGACCCACTGACTTGACTTGCCAGCCTCACCTTCAGCCTGCTTGTCACTATGGACTCCTCTGGAAACCTGGGGTCGCTCTGACCCTGCTTGCCGTTGCTGGCCCCACTCTGCTTTTTTGTTTGGGCACCGTCAGAACGAGGTCACTGCCTGCCAGCTTTGTTGTCACATTCTGTTCCTGGCTCACCTGCCCTTACTGCTCCCTGAAAGCTTAAATCTGCTCTCTTGTGAGCCTGGGCTTACAGTGCCACGTTTTGTTTTGTTTTCAGATAAATGTCGTATTTGCCTTCAAAATGGTAAAGGCAGAATGGGTTTTTGTGATTCTTTTTTTTGGTGTGTAGTCAACAGTAAATACAGATGTAAAGATGAATCTTCTTACCTTTATTACATCTTTACAGATCTAATAAAAAAAAAGTGCCAAAATGACTAGGATCAGCTTGGGGAGATGATTTATATTATTGCTTTCTTTTCCATGGTCCGCGGTACAAGAGGATGGAAGGCATCCCATAGTCTTTGATATTAACTTTCTGTGTTGTAGAAGGTAGCATGACATAGACATGCATGAAATCATTACTATTAATTTAAAATCATTTCTTTGCAAAAAAAAAAAACCAACAACAAAGCCCAAACCCCCCCAAAACCCCCAAAAGCAAAAACCCAAACACCAGACAAACAAACAAACCCTAACAAATTAGCAGTCTATAGGCAATAAAATTATAACCGTGTTCTCCTATGGTTTCAGTACTGAAGTGTATTTGAAGATTACACCCTGCAGATGATGAAGGAAAGCTAAAAAGTAAAATGTGATGAACAATTGCTGGATTTTCAGAATTTTAAACTGAGGTTAAGGACACAATGCAGTCATATTTTCTTAATAGTTGTCTGAAGTTAAATTCAGAGACCAGGTATCTGACCTACACTGCTAAGAGCAATGTATTTGTCTCCTCAGGATGTTTCTGGATCCAGATGCTAATTTAAATTTACATCCAACCCCCTGCCATGGGCAGGGACACCTTCCACTAGAGCAGGTTGCTCAATGCCCCCTCCAGCCTGGCCTTGAGCACTGTCAGGGATGGGGCAGCCACAGCTTCTCTGGGCACAACCACACCACCCTCACAGTGAAGAATTTTTCCCTAATATCTAATCTAAATCTCCCAGCTGTCAGTTTAAAGCCATTCCCCCTTGTCCTGTCACTACATGCTCTTGTAAAAAGTCCTTCTCCAGATTTCCTATTGGCCCCTTTAGGTCCTGGGAGCTGCCCTAAGGTCTCCCCTTAAGGAGCCTTCTCTTCTTCAGGCTGAACAAGCCCAGCTCTCTCAGCCTGCCTTCACAGCAGAGGTGCTCCAGCCCTCTGATCATCTCCATGGCCTCTTCTGGACTCACGGAAGCTGTCCTTGTCTTGCAGACTGGTTTGATGATTAGCTAGTTATAGACTAATATTTACTACTTGTTTTTATTAATCATTACAATTTATTTTATAGTTGCTGCCAGTTGTATTATTCTTTTTATTCAGCTTTATGAGGCTCCTATTTGCTTTTCCTGTCACTGAGTATATTGCAAGAGAATTCCTAGAAAAAAATACTATTTTTTTCACAAGAAGGGATGTGCCTGTACCCGTACTGCAACAGACTACAGTTGATTTATATGAATATCTAAAAAAGATCTCAGTAATAACATTAAAGGTCTCGGTAAATCTTGTTCCAAACTTCTTAGGTAATTAATTATAGTTCTCTAACCAAACTATGCTCCAGACATGTGATTGCTGCTGTTTCCAGCCCAGCTTGTAAGAATGACACAAGTTTTCGTTTTGTGGCCCTATAGCTTGACAAATCTGTCCACTGAGATTCTCAGTTGAGACCCTATGGGACCAGTGTGCAAAAATGAATCCTGCACCTCGGTAACCTTAGAACTGGAAACCTGAGACAGGAGAGGTCCATTTAATAGAGATGGCATTACTAAAGAAATTCAGCATGCTAACCCAGAATAACCTTGGAGAAGAAACATGCTCAGATGCTGCTAGGAAGCATCTTCATCCATTAAATCCAATCTGTTTTGGTAAAAGAGGAGTTTGAACTTGAGGCTCTCTTGCAATTTTTCAAGTGTAAAGGTGGGTAGGATCTCCTAATCCAGTACTGTTTTGAAAGAGAAGTGTTTGCTGTCTGATGACTCACCTCATTTTAAGCCAGTGTATCAAATTCAGGATGCTGATTTTGTCTCAATAGACCCAACAGGTTCCTTGCTTCTGTTTAGTAATTCTTCAGCAATTCTCTCCATGACTTTTTTTTTTCCTAAAGCCTCCTAAACAGATAGAGACTGTTGTATTAGGTTAATAACTCTTAAAATAAACAGATGATTAAAGCTTTTTCTTAAAACTGTATAAGAGTTAATTTATTAAAAATTTCAAGAATATTAATTACAGGCTTAATCTGGATAAATGGGAGCTACACTTCTAAGTCACTAAAATTCTCACTGGGATTTTGAGATGCAGCCAACTACATCTTTAGGTGCCTAAACCCATTGAAAAGAAAGCTTTACCCGGCATTTTCAAGGAAAACAATGTCATGTGTAATAGTAATCTCTTCCACAAAACAAGATGTTGAGATGATTTTACTGAAAAAAGTATTGATTTTATTTTTTTTGCCAAGCACAAAATAGCAAAGGTCAAAAACAGTGCTCAGCTAAAGGGAGTGTGAAGTCACCGAGTGAAGGTTTGGAAACTGGAAGGATTTTCTTTTACATATTTGTGTTTTAGGGTTCAGAGATAGATGAAACTGTACCAGACAGTAGATCTTTTAAGGCTGTTCTTAATCCAGTATCAAGGGAGAAAGTTTTCTGGATTGAATGACTAGTAGAAGTTGTTTCTAATTCAGTTCTCAGAAGAATGCACAGGACCCCAAACTTGAAATACAGCTAGCAGCTGGTAGAGGACTTCTGCCATCTGGTAATCTCGATTTGATCTGCTGACTCCAGGAGACCTGATACACAATAACACACACTCTGAAGAACTGGGAAATGTAAACATATCTATCAAAGCCTGTCTTAAAGTAGGTCCAGTAACTGCAAACATTTCAATAATATTTGAGTTGCAGAGATGGCTGGGTTTTAGAGTATTTGTGAAATTGTAACAATTCCAGTTATTAAAACTATAAAACTGTGCTTAGATCCCACTTTGCTGCTTTTACACCCTATGTGCAGGAGGGGGAACTGCAGCA